CCCTGGAAAGTCCATCCCTAGCTGAAGTCACTCCAGCCAGAGCACTCCCACAGAAGGTTTCTGTTTTGATAACATGCCATTTTCCAGGGAAAAATATTTTTATCTGCAAGCTCTCCACCCTGTTTGCCCACAGAGTGACGATGTGAACTCGGGTTTCCCTCCCCAGAGGCTGGAGGATTGTGCAGGGCCCTCAGCCTGGGCTGTGGGCAGGGGCACACCCAGCCCTGCAGCTTTCCTGGGAATTTGGGAGCACTGCTAGCACTGCTCTGTCCCTGGGGCTGGGCTGGGCTCTGTGCACTGGCTGCTGGTGGCTTTGCTCCTGTTTGTGGAGCACATCCCCTGTGTGTCAGCACCTTGCCCGTCCTGGAGGGCAGGAATGCCCCAAGGCAGCCTGGGCATCAAATAAACACCAGCTGAGCCCAGGGGCGGGCAGGGTTTGTCACAGAGAGCTGCAAGACACCTTGGCAAGGTCCTCTCCTCTCCCAGCCCCTCTGCCAGGGCTCAGTGTGCAGGACATGGGACACTGTCAGTGGCTGTGACACTGTCCATCCAGGAAGGGACAGGGATGAGCACACAGGCCACAGGGGCAGCCTGGGCTGTGCCAACTCCTAAAAGCTGTCACAGGCACTAGAACCAAGATCACCAACCTGGAGAAATGACCTTCAATGCCTTGTTTTGTCCTCCTTGCTTCTTATTCCATAGGCAAAGCTCTGCTCTGGGAGGCCACCCCAGCTCAGCTGGGTCCCAGGTTTGGAGCCCCTTTGGAGAACAATTCCACCCTAAAGACTGTCATAGGCACTGAAACCACGATCACCAGCATGGAGAAATGACCTTCAATGCCTTGTTTTGTCCTCCTTGCTTCTCACTCTGTAGGCAGAGCTCAGCTCTGGGAGGCCACCCCAGCTCAGCCATGGCTGAGGGTCCCAGCTCTCTGCAGCGGCTTTGGAGCCCCTTTGGAGAACAATTCCACCCTAAAGGCTGCCACAGGCACTGGAACCAAGATCACCAACATGGAGAAATGACCTTCAATGCCTTGTTTTGCCCTCATTGCTTCTCACTCTGTAGGCAAGGCTCTGCTCAGGAATGCCACCCCAGCTCATCTTGGTCCCAGCTCTCTGCAGCTGCTTTGGAGCCCCTTTGGAGAGCAATTCCAGCCTGCAGAACAGACTCTGCCAGGGTTCTCTGTGTGCAGCTGACAGCAAAGGCACCCCAGTGCCCCCACCCCACAGACAGGGCAGAATCACCCAGCTAAATTCAGGATTGGGGGCTGAACCCCTCTGTGCCCTCTGTGGCTGAGGGAGCCAAGCAGGAACCTGGCAGAGAGTTTGTGGGACAGGGGCTGGGTCAGGGGAGCCTGGCTGTGGCTGCTGGAGCTGGGCCTGGGAGCCAGCCCAGAGCTGCACAGCTCCTCCGGGATGGAGATGTTTTACCTTTACAGCAAAACCAGCACAGGATGCAATTCCAGACCCATCCACAGCCACTCCCTCTGTCCCCTTCCATGATGAGCACCAAGACAGGAGAGAGATGAAGGGAAGGGGTTCCAGCTCTGGAATTGCTCCATGCCAAGCTGGCAGAAGGCACCAACATGGCACAGGTTATTCTCTGCCAGGAAGGATGGGAGATACCACCAAGGGTGACCAAGCATCTCCGGGGTCAGCCAGTCCTACAAAGAGCAGATTCCATACCCTGGAATTCCATCCAAACTCCTGCAGGAATTCCCACCCCAGTGGCCTGGGACACAGACACAGCAACCTGCACTCCCCCATGTTTTTTTATTTTTATTATTATTTAGTTGTGGTCACACTGCTGCAGCTGCTGGGTGCCTTGCAAAGATCCAAGCGCCTCATGAGGAAGGGAAATGACCTTTCCTAGCCCTGCTTCTGCTCCCCTGAGCGTGGCAAGGCTTGTGTTTGTTAATATTGGTGAAGAGCTCTGAGCTCCTGGGATGGAATATCTGTCATGGAAAATGAGCTGGGTGATTATGAGGAGTTCTAGCCCAGTTAGCAAATGGCTTTTCCCATCTGTGTGAGCAGAACAGGCTGCTGTGCCAGGGAAGTCTGCTTTCCTTTGGAAAAGCTCTAACAGGTTGCTCCAGGCACTGGAAGGTGCTCAGGAACAAATTGTGTCCTTCTTATAACTTTAATTTTGCACATTATGAGGGGAAAATAAAGTATAAAAATATATTATAAACTCAGGACTGCTTGACCAGGTTCTAATACTGAATTCCTTGTGAAACAACACACTAGAGGCATTTAATCTCAATTAAAAGATCAATTACATTTATCAACAGATAAAAGATTATCTGGGGCATTACACAAATACAACACAATTTATTACCAGCTGGTAAGTAACCTCTAATGCATTTTTAAACACTTCCCCATAAATTACAAATAAACTTCCGTCCTATAATTATGTTAGAGTTTTGATTCTCCAGTTAAGTTCCTATGGGATCGGTCTTTACCATTATCCATAGTTATTTAGGATTCCTTTACTGTAACCCATATCTGAGGAAAGTTGTACATCCTAAAATTTAATTTTAGGCATAGAAAATACAATTTTTCATCTTGACAAGGATCTGGGCATTTATATTAAGATCATGTTGAGGAAAGCATTCATGATTTAACACTGTGCATGAGAAATGAGGCTTCTTGTTCATAAACCTGGAAATATCTGAGGCCTGGGTTCAATTTCTTGTTGAATTTGGAACATTTCTACACCAGGTGCCAATCCTGACTTTCTGCAGTGCCCATTTGCCTTTGGGATTGTAACTCACAGAACCAAACCTGTGTCTCCCTTTGCTCCAGTGCATGGCAGTGAAGAGCTCAGAGCTGTTACGGCCATTAAGGATTTAGATTTTGGATTAAACTGAGGTGTGAAAAGGCCCTGTCACCAACCCCTGATCTCCATCCTGTAACAGTCTGGTGCACCTGCTGGCTCTGGCTTTGCTTTTGCAAACAAACTGAGCAAGAGGAACAAAAAAATGCAAACCAACCCCATCTCTGAGCCCCAGGGACTGGCAGTGCTCTCCTGTGAGGCTCTGCAGGTCCTGCAACACCAGTGACCCCAGGGGCTCACCTGATGGGATTTGGATTATTTGGGTTATTGGGATTGTTGAGGTTATTGGGACTATTGGGATTATTGGGATTGTTGGGACTATTGGGATTGTTGGGGTTATTGGGGCTATTGGGATTATTGGGATTGTTGGGACTATTGGGATTGTTGGGGTTATTGGGACTATTGGGATTATTTGGATTGTTGGGGTTATTGGGACTATTGGGGTTATTTGGATTTTTGGGATTGTTGGGGTTATTGGGGCTATTGGGATTATTGGGATTGTTGGGGTTATTTGGATTATTGAGATTATTTGGACTATTGGTATTATTAGGATTGTTGGGGTTATTGGGACTATTGGGGTTATTTGGATTATTGGGATTGTTGGGGTTATTGGGACTATTGGGATTATTTGGATTATTTGGATTGATTGGGTTATTGGGACTATTGGGATTATTTGGATTGTCAGGGTTATTGGGACTGTTGGGATTATTGGGATTATTGGGATTGTTGGGGTTATTTGGATTATTAGGACTATTGGGATTATTTGGATTGTTGGGGTTATTTGGATTATTGAGATTATTTGGACTATTGAGATTATTTGGACTATTTGGATTATTTGGATTGTTGGGGTTATTGGGACTTTTGGGATTATTTGGATTATTTGGGATTATTGGGAAGGACAATCTGTCGGGGCAGCTGTGGAGCTTCCAGCACTCTCTCATTATCAGTGTTTTTACATTACAAGCCACACATCTGATATGTGCACTGAGACAGCACAGAAGAGCTCCCTCCTGGGCACCTGAGTGCTGGCTGCACTTCCAGAATTGTCCCTTGCATGTCCTGGGACATCTCCTGAGGGTTTGTGACACTCGGAGCTGAGGCTGTGGCTGGAGGAGCAGCCCTGAGCAGGACTGGGCAGTGATTTCCAGGGTGGGGGGGAAAGGAGGGACATCCCTGTGGCTGGAGTGCCCATCCCTGCTGAAACCCTGCCTGATTTCCAGGGTGGAGGGAAAAGGAGGAACATCCCCATGGCTGGAGTGCCCATCCTTGCTGAAACCCTGCCTGGCATGGAGAGGGCAAAGGCACAGGGCAGCTGGAGCCTGGATGTGTGGGTGGAGCTGGAGACAATGCCCAGGTGAGGAACCCGTGAGGGATCAGGTAATACAGATAACATCACTGGGATTCCCTGAAACACCGGGGATGCAAACCTGGGATTTTCTCTGTGCCCCAAGAGCAAGGGAGGGTGGATGTTCTCCATCCCAGCAGGGCACGGGGAGCAGCACCAAGAGCCCAAACTGCTGAACACGGGGTGAAGGGGCCCAGGGAGCAGCTCCTGCAGGACACAGCCTGTCCTCAGGTCTGTGGGTCACAGCCCATGCTCAGGGGGTGTCTGTGGGACACAGCCCGTCCTCAGGTGGTGTGTAAAGGAGAGAGCCCATCCTCAGGTACTTTCTGCAGGACATAGCCCATGCTCAGGTGGTGTCTGTGGGACACAGCCCATGCTCAGGTGGTGTCTAAAGGACACAGCCCATCCTCAGGTGGTGTCTGAAGGGGACAGCCCATGCTCAGGTGGTGTCTGCAGGACACAGCCCATCCTCGGGTTGTGTCTGTCGCCTCCCCGGTGTCCCACAGCCTGAGGGCTCCGTGGCCGGGCCATGCCACCTCTGTGCCCTGGGGGACGGCGGTGCCATCTGATCCCCCGAGCTCCGGCTTTGCAGGGCCGGGCGGTGCCGGCAAGCAGCCGGAATTCCCTTCTCTGCCCCATCTCAGCAGGAAACCCAGGAGCTCTGTGAAATGACAGGGAGGGAGAGAGAGAGAGAGTGAAGTCCCCTCGCCTCGGCTGGTGACGTCTCTCCTTCCTCCTTTTTTTTTTTTTTTTTTTTTTTTTCCTGTCCCTATAAAGAATCTCGGGCTCGCATCAAACTTCCCTGCGAAAGGCTCGGCGAGGGGAGGGGGACAGCAGAGCCCGAGCCGGCCATGCCCCGGCCCCGCCGCCCCGGGCAGGTGCCCCCGGGCAGGTAGAGCCAGCCGGGCCCCTGTCCAGCCGGGCCGTCTGTCCTTCCATCGGCACCTGCACCTCCCTGCGGAGCCCGGCTCGCAGCAGCCTCTGCCACCTTATTTATCCAAGCTCCGCCGCCAGCAGCAGCGAGTGCGGGAAAAGTTTTTTGCCAAACTTTTTGTGGTGTTTTTGCTTTGCTTTTCTCACCCCTCTGCGCCAGCCGGGAGGCTCCTGAGGTTCCCCCCGGACACCGCCGGGATTGGAGAAACGGGGGAAAAGAAGGAATAAGGGGGTGAAGGAAAAAACCCAGAACCTCGGGAAGAAGAAGGGAAGGCGAACACAGCCCGCAGCCCCAGGATGAAGCGGTGAATGGCAAGAACGATTTAACTGCGATCAACAAGTGGGAAACCCTGCGCGCCTCGTCCTGCCCGTGCCTTCCCCGAACTCCTCGCAGCGAAGGAAGGAAAACTCCTCCATCGGGCTCGGCTGCCTCGGGACCGGCCCCGGGATGCTGCCCCGGGCCCTGCTGGCCGTGTGTGCCCTGCAGGGGCTGCTGCTGCTGCACGGTAAGAGCCGGGGCTGCGGGCAGGGGGCCCGAGCGGTGCCATCCCCGGGGGCAGCGCTCCGTGATGCTTTATTGTGCTTTCCTCTCTTTCTGTGCTCCTCCCGGAGGTGTCACCAAACTGAGAGCCCCGGTGACAGCGGGCAGGTGTCACCGCTCTGTCCCCAATGCCGCGGGGTTCACACCTCTGTTAAATCAGGAAATAGAGGTAAAAAACTTAACTTTCTTGAAGGTGTCGCACACAAACGTCAGGTTTTAATGGGTGTTCCCCTTGGTGCCATCCCCGGGGGCAGCGCTCCGTGATGCTTTATTGAGCTTTTCCCCGCTTTTTGTGCTCTTCCGCTTTGTGTCACCCGGCTGAGAGCCCCAGAGCGGGCAGGTGTCACCGCTCTGTCCCCAGTGCCGCGGGGTTCACACCTCCCTTAAATCTGATCTTTGGAAATAGAGGTCAAATAACGAAGCCTCCTTGAAGGTGTCGCACACCAAGGTCAGATGTAATGGGTGTTCCCCCTCGAGGTTTGGCCGCTTGATTAGAAATAGCGACTTGTGAGTGTTCACCGATTTGTGGCTTTTTTCCCTCGGTGGGAGGGTTCCTGCTGGTGTTTGATCACTCGAGGCAGAGCTGAGGCTTTCAAAGGAGGAGCTGTCTGGGAGCACCTGGGCTGTCCCGCTGTCCTGGAGTTCATGGGCACAGACATCTCTGACGGGCATTCCCTCTGACATTCCAGTTCTGATTCTTTGATATTTCAATTTTTGAACATTGGTTCTTTGATATTTCATTTTTTTGAATATTGATTCTTTGACATTTCAGTTTTTGAATATTGGTTCTCTGATATTTCAATTTTTGCACACGTGGTGCTTCTTCACCACCTTCCCCTCCTCAGCCCAGGTGCCAGGTTAGATCCCCTGCTCTCCAAAACTCATTTTCCTTTGCAGGAAACTCCCTTTCCCCCCAAATTTATTCCAAATTTTTGCTGCTATCAGAAAAGCCAAGAGGCAGGTTAATGAGATTTGGGAGAGCTTTTCCATCTGCCGTGTGACTTTTCATTATCTCATTAAGCATGAGGATTTTGCTGGATTACTGAGCTATTCATTCATGACGCTGCAAATTGTGTAAGGGAGATGGGCTCTTGTTTATTGGGGAATTCCTTTCTGACAGAAAGGACTTTTTCATTTTTTTGGGTAGTGGATATATTGCACAGCACGAGGCTGTTGTTCTTCAGCGTATTATATTTTCATAGTTAAGTGGGTAGCTTCTGGAAACACTGTGGAGCATCACTGTCCTTGATTTTCTTGGATTCGTTCAGGGATTTAATGTATTCCTTCTGCAGAAAGAGACTGATTGGCAGGCACAAACCCTGGGGAATCTCACATCTTCCCCACAGGTACCTGCAGAATAAATAACTGAGCCTGAGGTTGTGCTCCAAAGGGCTTGTCCAGGAAAAGCTGAAGCAGCAAACCTGGCAGGTGGCAAGGAGCAGGAATGCTCAGGTTGCGAGGTGTCCCCAGGGAATGTGTCCTGTGCCAGGTCTGCCAGCAGTGCCCACACCTTGGGCAGCACCTGGGGCAGCCCTGGGAGGGTTCCTGAGCTGTCTCCAGCTGGCTGACACGTGCAGCAGCAGCAGCTGCCTGCTTTGAGGGTTCCAACCTCTGCACAGGCTGGAAAACCCAGTGTGGATTTCAGAGGCATAAATCACCACAGGATTTGGTGGATCAGAGAGGGACAATAAAGAGGGATTGGGAGATGGGAGAAAACATGGTGTACCCAAGTGTTCCTGAGGCTCAGGGTGAAGTGGAGCACAGGGAGTCCAGGGGGAAATCCTGGTTGGAGATGCTGCCCACATTTCAGGGCTGTTCAGGTCCTTCCTCACCAGGTTCCTTTCCATTTCTGCCCAATAACCTTGGAATTTGGTCCAGATTCCTTCTGCCATCAGTGCCAGGCACAGAGGAGGCCATGAGAAGGCAGAGTCCTGTGGCAGAGGGAGGGAGGCAGGAACACCCCTGTGCCCAGAGGTGCAGGGTGCTGAGGGACCTGGAGCAGCCCTGTGCATGTCAGGAGCTTGGCTCATCTTTAGGAACAGATAAAACACCAGCACAGCCTCTGGGTGCCCTCACTGGGCTGGAAGCCAGGGGGGACAGGGCCAGGAGGGCTGAGGATTGGGGATGGCACTGGTGTTACTGGGGAGCCAGCTCCTCACCACCTTGCCCTCAGGGCTCCTGGGCTCAGTGCAGCTCTGCTCCACCTCCCCAAGCCTGGATTTGCCCCTCAGTGTAGTTAAACCTTCCCTGGGATCTCTGTGGCCAAAGTTAGGCAGGGCTGTGCTGAGGAGGCTGACTCTGATTCCAACCCAAACAATTCCACAGCAATGCAGAGAGAAGGAAAGCCCTACAAGTGTCAAAGCTGCTCTGCACCAAGGCATTGACTCCTCAGCCACTTTTCCCTCCCCGTTCATCCCCAGCAATGAAAATGATGAAATGCTGGCCACTACATTTATCCAGGTCTCCTTTGGGGAATTCCTGACTGATTTGTTGCTTTCAGCAGGGGAAAGAGACCATACAAGCATCATCCCAGTGATTTCCCACCTTATTCTAAAATACAGCTCTAAATACACCTTTAAATCGCCTCCTTTAGTTCCCTGAGTATCATTAAATTTCCGCTTTCCTTTTGCTCATTGCTTGGCTTCTTCTCAGCTCCTCAGAGCTCTGGTTGGGGTCCTGCTGCTCAGAACTGACCACTGATTTAATGATGGTGCAGGTGCCAACAGCTGGCACAGCTCTGAGCTGTGGAGTGGGGTGGTGCATAACCAGCCCTGGCAAAAACAATCTGCAAAGAAATTCTTGCACCTTAAATTGTGCATGAAGAATTCGGTGTCTTTTACCCAGTGACATGATCACCAGAAGGTTTTAATATCTGAGCAATCCGAGGCATTTTTTGGGTATTGGAATAAACTCAGCCATTTCAGTGATTTAACACTGGAAATTATTAAAGATTGAAGAATAAAAATCAGGTCCTGCCCGATGGCTTTGAAATGAAGCACACTTGAAATTGATTTTTTTGTTGTTGTTTAATTTTGCCATGTCTTCTACAAATTGATTATACTGGCTGGGCTATGAAGCTTGTTAACACAGAGATTTCAATTAAGCCATGGATCAGGAGATAAAAGCTCCGGGAGCTCGGATTCCTCCTGGTTTTCCAGCCAGGATGGTCACAGAGTGCAGCAGGATCAGTGTGGCTGTGCCAGGGCAGAGGCACTGGGGGGTTGTTTTCCCAAAAAATGTGTGTCCTAACTGGTGTTATTCCCAAACATTTGCTTTACTGTGGGAAAATGTTATAAAAAGCAGAGGAGCCTTTTTTTAGGCTGGTGGTATATGAGCCTCCTGCTGAAGCTGCCACATTCGAAACCAACTGGAAATCTCCTTATACCAATTCAGCCATTTAAGGCAAGGAAAAAAATGTCAAGTATTTCTGAATACTCCCTGAACTTCTAAAAAACAGTATTGTACCCAAAAGAACACTGAGAAAATGAACCAGATTGTTTGCTGAAGGTTTCTGCTGTAAGAACTTGCAGCATTTTCTTTAAAACTTGTACAAAATATTTATCTGTGGGCATTGTTCTGCTCTGTGTAAGAGCAATAGGGTCTGTTTGGGTCATCTCTGCCCTTTCACCCATTCCCTGGATTGTTCATTTTATGATAAATTATTTGTACAAAGTGAGAGCTCAATCTACTGCATTTGAATTTATATTATATATATATATATATATATATATATATATATATATATAATTCATATATATATTATATATATATAATTCAAATTATATATACAATTTGAATTAATATCTCAGGTTGGGCTGAATACTTATGTTGTTCATAATATAATAGAATAGCAATATATAATATATAATATATAATTTATTATATATAATGTATAATAGACAATATATTACATATTATTATATATAATTATATGTATATTATATTATATTATTATATATTATATTATTATATATTATATATATTGTTGTTATATATATTATGATATATAATAGAATATATAACAGAAAATAGACTATATAATATATAATATATATTATATATTATATAATATATAATATATTAAATATGTTATAGAATATGTTATTATAGTTATTATTATTATTAATATTTATATTGTAAATAAGTTTATTCACACAAGCAAAAGGTTTCCAAGTCCCACAGGAGATTCCTCAGGTACAGCAGGGCAAGGTGATCTGAGCTTTTTGGGGGTCTCTCCCAGATCAGCAGTGCAGTTTGGAGGAGGGTGCAAACCTGGTCTGTCCCATATCTATTGAGGGATGATTCACATCTGGTCCTTCCAGAGACCATTTTTTAAAGGTACCCAGGAGTTTCCAAGAGGACAGTGTTGGATTTTCAGAGTGAGCACGAGGAGCACCCTGGAGCTCAGCCCCTCTGAGCTTCACCTGCTCACTCTGGAATTCCTCTGATCCACTTTTCCTCCAAACCGGCCTGATGGCACTGGAATGGGAATTAGGAGTGAAAATAATGAAGGGATGTTGGAGTATCTAAACAACAGCTAGGATTGAAATAAATGTGTGCAGGTGCTTTCCTTCAGAAAGCAGCTCTGATGGCTGGCAGGACACGAGGGCTCTGAGTGCCCACCAGGACATTCCCCTCCAAGTGTCCTCAGCCACAGCCCCCAGGACACTTGGCTGCCCAAAAAAAGCTGGGTGAGATGTGAGTAATAGAGAACTGAGTTCCCCATTAGGCACCTCGTTAATTTTTCATTTTAAGGCCACAGAGAAAAGAGTAGAAGCTGCCAAATCCACCAGTCAAGGTTTTTATCTGGAAATGGCATTTGATAGAAGGCTTGTCCAGGGAGCAGAGCTGGCACTCATCAGGAGCATGGCAGGATCAGCACAAACCACAGGAACCAAGGTTTCTGCAGGACCTCAGAGGCTCAGCCAGGAACTGCTTCCTCCAGTGGGGAGGAGGAAGGATCCG